CGAGGAGGCGAACTACTCCATGCCCCAGGTTCTAATAATGTAGTCTGGATCCATTTCTCTCCAGGTACGGGTCAATGTTTGTCTGAGGCTTGCTGTACTCGTGTGGCGTTTAGACCAGCCCTTGGCCTTCATAATGCGCCATATTGAGTAATCCAGCGGATTAAGATCGGGGCTGGATGGCGGCCACATATCCTTCGCCCAGAACGGAAGATGTTCCTGCAACCACTTCTGAGTGTGGTTCGAGGTGTGGCACCGAGCCCCATCTTGTTGAAATACAACATTTGGCTTCGGACCGTACTGTTCTTTGATCCACGGAAGAACATACTTACTTCAAATCCCGATGTAGACCTCCGTGTTGACCTTGTCGCCTTCTGGCATGAACACCTTGTCGCCTTCTGGCATTGCCACCAATCCAAACACCATAACGCTAGCAGGATGCTTGGTCAGATACACGTTGTTGTGCTCGCCGGCCACGTCTTTTACCGGAAGAGAACTAATATACCGGTCGGTTCTGGAATTGGATACGGGATCGACGGTAAACATGCTCTCGTCGGTGAACAGGATTACCGGATTTTTTCGCGTTCGACTCGTAGCTCCCGGATGCGGTTAGTAATCATGTGAGTTTTTTTTTCCGTGCCCTCGACTTCGCCCCGCAATCTTCTTTTACGATCTTCCATTTTCCTTATTGAACTCACTGGATTCACCCGAATCTTCCTTTTGATAGCAGCGATAACCCTCGGAACCCGAGCTGACCTCGAACGACCTGTGGCCACCTTCGCAGATAGTTGTCCTTTCTTTTTTCGGTCCACCGGGACACTCCCACGGTGATTGAAATGTCTTTTTGCGACATTTGCGCGTGGGACAAATCACGAATACGCTGCCACTTCGTCATGGTGCGACTGTCAAACTAAGTAAATCATTTTCTTTTATACACAGCCTGCTACGGTATGAGCTATAGGTTACGTGCATGCAAAGAAAACCGAGGCAATGTATGCACATGTGAAACGGGAACCCTATTTGTACGATGGTGCAAACATTATCAATGGTTGAAGACCGGTTGATCGCCATCCATTGACGTTGGTTTCTTTTTGAGTGACAGCATCATTTGTCTATTTATATCTATTTCACAAATTCAACTTCATTAAACATTTTCTCTACATTGTCACAATTCCACTTCTGGTACAGCTCGGTGTATTTTGCTTTCAGCGGGCCAAACACAGCAACATCTAGTACTTGGAGAATGTGCGTTGAATTGGGATACAGCACCACTAGCTTCACGTCATTCTCGTAGCACCACCTATACAGCTTCAACGAATGGTGACCATAGTACCCATCCATGACGAGCACAATTGGACGCTGAATTTCCATTTCAATCCAACGAGGGGTCAAATGCTGCGTGACAAAGAAATAAAAAGCGTCTCCTTTCATCCAACCGGATTGCGTCTGGTTAAATCCAAAGTTAGCACCAACAGACCAAGAAGCAGTTGCAGCAGCAACAAGATCACTGAACGAATCATTAAATGTGATCAGTGGCGGAATGTAACTCCCATCTGCAGCAACAGCATAGGTACAAGTGATGTTTTCTTTCGGCTTGCCACGCTCAACGTTGTAAACAACCTTCGCCATTTTTCGTGCGTACACTTTCTTTTGCACTGGATTCATAACGTAGTTTCGTCCACATACCACCATGAAGCTGGCCGATTCAGGAGGTACAACATTTGTCCTTGCTCGAACTAGCTATAGACGTACTCAAAATATTGTTCAATTCAGTCAGCGGTCAACCCCGCGGATGCTCTTCCAAGTGCTTCTGGTGTCCGCTTTGAGATTTCAGGTTGTCTCCGTAAAAACTTGTTCAGCCATCCTGTCGATGGTATTCCTCTTTTGAAAGTGCTGCCTTGAAGGGATGCAAGTTCGGAAGCTGCTTCAAGTATCTTCTTTGTGGTTTTGGGACAATGTGCCATTTCTCACTTCTTCCAGAGCCTTTTGCAGTGTTTCGGGGGAATATTTTATGGGTCTCATTGTAGCACCTACGATGGGAAGAGGATTAATTAATTGTTTATTAAAATAAATAACAATCTACCATTCTTGTTGAAGCTTACTTTAATCATCTCTTCGTCGACTTCGTGTGAAATTCTGACCCGTTTTCATGTCCTTTGATGTGTTTTCAAGCAATTTTTCCGTGGAAACTTTGATGCGACATTTGCGCGAAGGAGCTAATCAGAACGTAAACAAAGTGTAGCGACGGTAGTGACCCTAGCGGTGATTCGACGAAGCTGATAGTAGGAACCACGTTAATTTGTGGTTCGAACCAAGATCAAAAAACAATAATCGTATTTTCAAAAAATACAAACATTCAGGGATTTTTCCTTTTATGAAACTTTGCAGTAATGAAATAATATGTACGCCTCGATGCCCGAGCATTGTTCCAAGCTTTACTTTGGTGATTAAAATACTTGCAGACGGTTTAAATAAACAGCTTGGATAGGGACAATCAGAATCAAATGCACAACTGCTTTCAATGTAATTAACTAAATACAAACTAAACAAAACAAATATTTTTCTAAAACAACAAAGGGGTGTGACAGGAAATGTCCAAAGCTTAGTTTAGTAACATTTTGATTCTAAATTTCTGAATGCTGAATGGTTTGTCAGTTTGTTTTTAAACTAGTTCGAACCACAATCATTTTTTTCACGATTCGAACGAAGATCATTTACCATATATTTTATAATTGTAAACGAAAAAAAAAAGAAATCCCAAAAATTAGAAAGCTGAGATTGTTGAAATGCAACCAACCTCCATCAGATTCCTAATATTTTTCCCGAGGAATCCGAGATTACGACTGACGAACTGTTGGCCTATATCAAATCATATAAAAACAGGAAAATCCCAGATTTCGACAACATCCTGAATCTGGAACTCAAACACTTGAGTTCCACATTCTACAACCATTTGGCACTGATTTTTAATCTGTGCCTCCGACTTGGCTACTTCTTCTCGCGATGGAAGTCATCTAAAATCATACCCATCCGGAAACCTGGGAAGGATCCGTCCTCTCCTTCAAGTTATCGACCAATCAGCCTTCTCTCAGGGTTATCAAAACTGTTCGAAAAAGCAGTCTATCACCGGCTCCTAACATGTGCCGAAGAAAACAACTTGTTACTCGAGGAACAGTTTAGTTTTCGGAAAGGTCGTTCGACCGTCCACCAGCTGACTCGAGTAACAAACATTCTCAGACGGCGTTGTTGGACGTTGCAGCAGTACGGTCTTCCAATCATCCTAGTGAAGATAATAACCAACTATCTATCGGGCAGGACGTTCCGAGTCTCTCTGAATGGCATCATATCGGATGCTTTCAACTTCGGTGCCAGGGTTCCACAAGGAAGCATCCTTGACCCCATTCTATTCAACCTGTTCACCTCCGATATTTCGGCTCTCCCTGATGGTGGATCGTTGTCTCTGTTCGCAGATGACACATCCATCGTCTACAAGGGTAGGAACATCGGAGGTCGGTCTGCCAAACTTCAGAGCGACCTGGACGTCCTGTCCAGGTCATCATCTTTCCACACTCTAAATCTCCCAGACTTGTTCCGTCGGAGAATAATAAGATCTGCCTGAACGGCACAGTGGTGGAATGATCGAAAGAGGTAGTCTACCTCGGCTTAACACTAGACAGCAAGCTTATTTTCAGGGAGCACGTTGATAAAACGAAAACCAAGTGTAACATCCTGATAAGATCCCAGAATCTCATCAACAGGAGGTCAACCCTGTCCCTAAAAAATAAGCTTGCTGTCTACAAACAAATCATCCTTCCCGTAATCGAGCACGGTATGCCAATCTGGGAGAGTTACGCCAAATGCCATCACCTCAAACTCCAAAGGATCCAGAACAAGATCCTTAGGATGATCCTAAACAGTTCCCCGTAAACTAGTAATTCTGAGATCCACCTCCTGGCTGGAATTCAGACATTAGAAGAACGGAAAGTTTTTATCCTGGAAAGTTTCAGAGACACCCCTGTGAGATCAACTCATAGTAGGTTATCACCTTTTTTTTCAATTCAAACATAGCACACCCCCCAAGGGGTATTCTGTAGACTAGTAGAAAAACGTGAATACGTAAATGAGAATAACAAATGAAACAAAGATGAAGAGCCTGATAGGCTAAACAATTAAAATGTTAAAACAATGTATAATCATAATTAACAGAAATAAACGTAATTTCACTACTACTACCAAAAATTCGGGGTGGTTAATTTTCTCGGAAAATTTCAATTGAAATTTTCGATTTTCCCGGACATCACATACTGTTCAGATTCTTGTTTTGGACACTATATAATTATATCATTAAATACCTATGATCTTAAAAATGTACTTTTTTGTGCTTTGATTTATTGAAAAAGGGTGATGGCGTCATTTTGTAAAATTAGGCGAGAGTCAAAATGGCCGAACTCCAGCTTTCAAACTTGAATTTTATTTTTTTCTTTATTTTAGTGAATTTTAGCCATTTGCTAATTCTTAACTAAACTGGGTTCATTGCCCCTAGTAAAACAACTGTGCGAAGTTCAGTTTTAAATTCGTTTCATTTCTCGCTATTTGACGTGGATTTGCTCACATCGGAGCCAACCTAAGAAAGCTAAACATTTTTTTTTTAATGCTTTTTCCAGACAATTGCAACTGAACTAAACTAATAACAACTTTCAAATCAGTGTTCCTTAACGACTACCACAGTTATTCAGTAGGAATCTACCATCGCATGACGTTATTCCAAAATCTTCTTTGCACTACTCTAAATCTATCCAAAGTAGAAAGCATGCTTCACCTCCAGTCTACGACTCTTAGATCTATGATCCGAACCCCTTCTGACCCCAAAATTGCGCCCCTTCCACGAATCGAACAAAATAGAACTAGATGCGCATCCAGTACCTGTTGAATGTATACTTCCGACCGGAACCGCTCTCAGGTAGAACTCCTTTCACCTATCCCCCCTTATTCTCCACCTACAGGACTACATCACCGTGTACGACGGCTACACCACTCGGGATCCGGTCATCCTGAAGCTCTGCGGCGGCGGTGAGCCCATTCCGGCGGCCATCTCTAGCGGACCGGAACTGCTGGTCGAGTTCACCACTTCCCCGTTCGGGACGTTCAGCAATCCGAAAACCAGCTCCCACTCGCTGCACGGTTTCCAGCTAGAGGTAAGTTTCACCGACCAACTCTCTCCATTACTTCCTCCGGAACGGTTTCAAGTCCTGACGTTTCGATTTCTCGTTCTCTGTCTAACTCTGTTCTGTTTCAAAATTCGTCAAAACAAAATCTGCACCACCACCATCACCATTTCCAATGTTTTTAAAAAAACAAAACTCAATCAACTAAATCAACTCTCTGAACACTGCAGGTCTCGGTGAAGTTCGTCGACCTCCAGAGTCCCACGTACGCAAAGAGCAAACGCATCTGCGAATTCTGGCTGCGAGGTACCGGTCACGGGGTCCTGCAGAATCCCCAGCACTCGTTAGCCCCGAACACCACCTGTCTCTATCACTTGCAAGTTAGTAGCGCCATCCACCGTAATTCCACTCGGCTCTCACGGCACACGTCTCACTATTTCTCGGGTGTTTTGCTTTTTCTTTTCTTTCGGTGGGGTTCGGTCCACAGGGTACGGAAGCTCGCTCGATGGATGCCATCAACATTCCGAGGAGGTCCGGGGCACTGTCCACGTCGCCGACGCGCTTCAAGGTTTGGATCTCGGTCATGAAGTTCGAACTGGCATCGGTGTTCGGTGCGAGCGAAGAGCAACAGTACCATACTAAGGAGGACTGCACCGGGATGCTCCGAATCTGGGACGGGCCGCTGCGGGAGGTTCCGATCTGCAAGGATATCGATTGGTAGGTTATTAACAGAAGAGTCTTGGGGCTTGAGGTTACTCACGGGGTGGTTTGTTTCCAGTTTGGCCATGGACAAGGACGGTCACCTGCGGCCGACGATTCGCTTCGGGCAGAACAGTACCAACGTGTTGGCTCGGTACTGCGGAGGGTCGATCCAACGATCGTGCGATCACGGGATGCTGAACGAGACCAACGCTAGGCCGTGCACGCTGGCGGAGAGCTTCGTCTCGAGCAGTGACTTCGTAACGCTGGAGCTGAGGACGACGGAAACGACGGTACTGCGACCGCTACAGTTTGCGTTGAGGTATGAATTCGTGGACTTCCTGCAGGACGGAATGCCGATCAGCGGAGATAACGACTGCAGTCGGCGGTTCGTCAGCAGTCAGATGGAGAAGAAGGGACCGCATCCGGTTCGAAGTGTGCGGAACGTCTTTCTCTTCGGCAGAGGCGGAGCGAAGCATTTGCAGTGAGTCGTAGAACGATCAGGGGGGTTTGAGATCGATGGAAATCTAATGGGGGCTTGTGTCGTTTCAGTTGCGTCTATCGGTTCGAAGCGCAGCGTGGCGAACGGATTCGGGTGGAGATTGTCCGAGCGATGACCGGCAATCGGACGTGCGATTCGCGCGTTGATCCGGATACTGGGCGGTCGTACTGCTTCGGTAACAACAGTGCTAGAATCGACATTCTCGAGCGACCTTGGCACGAATCGATCCTTTTTCCCAGAGGGTGTATCTGCAATTCGACGAGCAGGTCGTTCCTTCCGATAGTGTTTACATCCACCGGGCGGGAAGTGGAGATACACTTCACTGCCGGAAACATGTCCAGCGCAGACGATCCGGATTCGTTGAACTTTGAAGGATCGTTCGAGTTCGTAAAAGCTTCGACGGTATGCAAGGACGTCCGACGGAAGAATGCCGTTACCGGAATTGTTAATCTATCCACTGGAGAGGTAAGTGTGCTGAGTTTGAGGCAAAACCCGTAGATATGTTTACAGAATTCTTTGCAGATGGAGTGCCGCAATCGACCCTGGTTGATTGAACCTTCGCATGACAAGTACCTCTATTTGCGCATGCGAGGGCTTTACATGCGCAAGACCGACCCGACAGTGCCGATGAAGTACAACGCCAGTCTCAGCGCGGTAACTCCGATTCGTTGCAATACCAAGTCCCGCGTGATCATCTCCAATAGCGAAGGGGTCTCGCTAACCGTATGTCCACTGCCTGAAGATACAGCTCACCGCCACGTGGTAGAAGTCTTCAGCGCTGGCTGGACCCACAAGCATCCGCACTTTGGAATTGAGCCTTCGAAGGTGATCTCCATAGAGTTCCTACATCCAGACGACGGTGCATATTCGTTCACCTGGCTCGAGATATCCAAGCGGCCATCGCCAAGCTACGGTAAGTAGTCTACGTACAGTCGAATTGTTGCCCTTTCACTCACCCAGCTTCATCTTGACAGCTCTGGTCCAAGAGGAATGTGAATTCATGTGCCCGGGTCTGGACGCGTGCGTCAACGGTTCCATCTTTTGCGACGGAATTGAGCAGTGTCCATCCGGAGAGGACGAATCGTTCTCCCACTGTTCGGCACTGCTTAGACTGCCAGCCGAAGTCCTAGCAGGCTTCAGCGTGCTACTGCTGTTGCTATGCTGCGGCCTGTCCGCTTACGTGTACCGGTAAGTAACCTCGTCGTGGTAACTCCGACAGAAATGACATCCCTTTCTTCTCCATAGAAAAATCAAACGCAACTGCCGGCGAACATCCGTACTTCAGACGAGACTCAAATCGCTCAGCTCAATGGATACGGCGGTGTTCGACGAAAAGGAGATAATTTGCTGACAAAGCGACAATTCTGTACGATACGTGGAGATTGATCGGGTCACCACGGTCTGACCACGCAACGTACAGAATTGTCTTCCAGTAGGTCAGCGAACTGCTGCCACCACCAGCATCACCTTCATCATCATCAACATCATCTCCAGACTACTTAACTGAGAGGTAAATCTCAAAATTGGACACCTGTTGTAGAACTGCAATTCAGAGCTGTAGACACACATAGGGGCGCAGCACTCGAATAGATTTCAGAAAGCGTTGTTGAGCGGCCCCTCTCGCGGCCCGCGAGAGTAGTGAGGCGAGGTAAACACATGAGACTAAACTGTCATTTTTGTACTACGTTTTAGTAATACTCTTTAATAATGAGATTGAAAACAAAAGTTAAAGGAAAACAAACAAGTTTGAGGTTAGAATCGTACTATTAGCGAAACGTTTTAAAAACAACCCTAGCTCTGGAACGAAAACTCCTTTCCAATTACCTAACCTAACTAACGAAACTCTAATAGGATCAAGAAGAAAACTGACAACCAAAAAAAAAACGGATGTTTTCTGCGAAAATTTAATGATAGAAAAGAGAAGAAACTTTAAAAATCATCCTCCTGAAAGTTGCATGCAAGCGAAGAGCTTTTAAGTCTACCATCAATACCGATTAAAAGAGGAACAGAACACTCGAAACCAAAAAAACAACGTTGACCTCATTTCTCGAGGTCCCCTCATACACACACACACTCAAACACTCCCTGGTTTTGGTGATTGGGACAAACTTGTTAAATACTAAATACAAACCAAAATTAAGAAATTATTAACTAAATCAAAATAAATGTGTAAAAGGTTGATTGCAAGCAAAAGATTTTTAAGACATTAAACATAAATTATTTACTTTAACAAACAAAAACGAAAAAGTATATCCATTAAACCCAAAACCAAATGAAACTGTTAGTGAATTTAAAAAAAAAAACTACGACTCTGCATGAAAGAAATTAAATTTAACACAAGCGAAAAAAAAAAGATTGTGGACAAGAAACCAAACTTAGGAAGTTCAGGATTGTTGAATTGTTACTTATATCGGTTTTATAATAAACGGACCAATATTTAAGAGGATTAAAAACGGGGATGAAAAAGATAACAAAAAATCGAACGGTGACCAGAAGAAAGAGTGTACCGATAATTTCGGTAAGATGGTGTGAAAAAAAAGATACTTTTTGAAAATTAGATCTAATCTAGACATGGAGCCAATTTTTACCGCGGTTAGCATATTACTTACATTTAAAAAAAATCTAGAGGCGGGTTGATGGTGTTAAGAGACGAACTGACCGAAATGCAATCATGTCTGAGGTGTATGGTTTTTTTTTATAGTTTTCTGTGTTCGATGAACCGACCTGAGTTCTGCTCCCTCAATTCTACACAACAACTTGTTCGGATAAATCTTTAAAATCTTAATATACACTGCGAACCGAAGGACATCCATATGCAACTGCCAGCTGTTTAATAAGCAATTGTGGTGTTTGGATGGGTGCGGATGGGAGTGTCGTGCTTGTTGGTAAAGACTGGAACGCGCAAAAATTCGTCAACAAAAAAATCCTTTCTTTCAGTCAAAATTCATGTCACAAAAATCTTCTTATTTTTCTTGGTAGTTGGTAGTTCAATTCATATATTTAAAGGAAAAAATCTTCGTTTATTCTTTTGGTTTGCCAAATCCGAACTGCCGTACCTTCCGCTTAATCCCTTCCATTAAATTTTGCACAGTGGTCTCATCGACCTTATTCGCCGCCGAACACCAGTTAGATTTAAACTTTTGCTCGTTTTCCAAGGATTTATTAGTTTTTTTTTTTTTAGATTCCGTTTGACCAAGGCCCAATACCGTTCGATATGGTGGAGATCTGGGCTGTTGGGAGGGTTGTGGTCTTTGGGTACCACAACCACGTTGTTCGTGTCGTACCACTCGATTGCTTTTTTTCCCATAGTGGCAGCTCGCCAAGTCCAGGCCAGAACAGCACAGATCTATTATATTGCTTTAAGAATGGCAGCAGCCGCTTTTCCAGACACTCCTGGACGTAGATCTCTTGATTGATGGTTCCCGTAGTAATGAAAATGCCGCTTTTTAGACCACACGTGAATATGATGGTTTTGAAAATTTCAGGGTTACAACTTTCCCAGGGTAGTTATTGGGAAACCGCTCAGTCGCTTGGGATAAGTATAAGGAGACATCTAACGGTTGCACTGCCTATAATGGCATATAAATCTCATACGGATTTTCGTCAATTTTGAAATAACAACGCTATCCACTATCAATTGGCATCTACTTTCATATTATGTGATAAAGCCATATACGTTGATCATGAAAAACGTGAAAACAACATCAGGTCAGTTTGTCCCATCAAGCAAAATATTCGCATATCAGTCCCATCCTGAAATTCAAGCGCCCATAGTTCAAGTTAAAAGTCTGCTTTTCGAATTGCCATATTTTTCGCTGATATAACAAAACATACAAGCCTCATTGCAACAGATTTTAACTTAAAAAAAATATCAATTAATTTACTCTGATTTATCAAATATTTACATGGGAATTGCACTTCATAACTTCTACTACCATTTTCACAATGCCTACTTTTTCCATATGGGACTGATATGTGATTGTATGTAGTGCAGCTTATTGCGGGGTGGGAGCCTCACAACCGTCACACAGTTCTGCTTGGCTTTTTCAAAAAAACGTAACGTTTTTAGTGTCCAGAATGATCAGCGCTTGGATAGTCGGAGATGGTCGGATATGCTTGAGAAAATGGTCAAACCACAAGTTGAAGGAATCAACTGTCATCCATCCAGAAGAGTGGCAGTAGAACAGAGTATCCAGTGGGGCCCCAAGATTCCCTTTTTTCCATTTCGAGTATGTAATTTGCCAGTTCCTGCTCTTGCTGCGTGGCGAATACGAGAAAATGAGGTGCCACTTCAACGAGTTCCGTGGAATTCCGTGCTCGGTAGCTGCCCGCTTTAAAAGTGTTCCGGTGTCCATTGCTGCTATGGCCGCAACCAAGTTCTCTTTGGTCCAGCTCTTACGGCCAGAAACTCGTTTGTAGCTAAGAGAAGAGGTGACAATACGGGAGCGAAAATGAACGACTTTTCTGTCAAACGTGAACCAGCTCCTGATTGGCCGATTTCATGTGCGTAAGATAGAGATAGAGATAGATATAGAAATAAAAGAGGAAGAAGCCAATTGTCACCTCTTCCTCTTAGGTTTGTAGTTGCGAACCATCTCAGGACGAACTGCGTTTTTGACAGAAGCGAATTTTGAGGTTAGACATTTCTTATGTTTAGTGTAGAAATACTCAGAGGGAGAGATGGGCGGAGAGAATGTTTTGAGCCAAATGAACTGCCAAAATCTGAGCCAATCGAACATTCCCATTAGAATTTTTCCGAGGATTTCTTATCCTTACTAGAATAAATTTGAGAGTATTGCAATCGAACAGAAATTCAATCACCTTTATGTTTCGTGTGCTTCTCAAATTCAACTAGTTTTTTTTTGAATAAAAAACAATATTCTAACTCTATTGATTAATTGATCTTAGTTGGTTAACTAGTAGCACCAAGAAATGTGCAAAATATTGCCATGCACTCAATTATTATTTTGCACGTAAATCGAATCAAAAGTAAAAGTCCTGTGAAATGCTAGCTTCTAGCAAGGTTTGCAAGATTAGCTGTAGCTGTTTAGAGTCTCGCCGTTCTCGATACCCAGCTCTGTTCTGACGGTTTTTTTCCCTTCGCTTCCCAAGCTGGAACGTGCTGATATTTTCCCCTGCGATGAATGTATCGTTGATACGCATAAAGTGCTGGGAAAACATTCGCTGGTGAGTAAGCATCTGCGCTTTCACACGGTTGATCGTAGCCAACATCGTTGGATTTTGATAATAGTTGTCATATGCTTGCCGAAGCTGCGAATACGTTGGTGTTCAGCATGAAATTCCCTGTACACCTCGCGAGATTTCCACCGAAAAAAAGAAAAAAAAATTCGGTTTAGCGCATGATATCCACCACGTTATTCAGTTTGGAAAGTTCCGTCGCTGTTGGGTTACATACTGCCATCTCATCTGGAACTCTTCGATGTTCTCTGCAGTGAGAATATGGGGACGAAGGGACCAGTAACCGTGGTCAGGTTCGCATCCGAGGCTAGGGAGGCATATTCTTGCGGTAAGCGCTTTGTGGTTCGTAAAAGAGCATACATGCGTGGCTGCACTCCGGAGATACGTGCATAGACCATTGCTGCCGAAGATAAAAGGCGACGGTATTATTGAAAAAGCGTTCTCACTCGGCACGCATTGCTGTGCCCGACGGTGCATATACGTTTGCCAATGTGGTGTTTTCAACCCGCAGAGCAACGAGCCTGCCATCCAAGCTCTTTTCTACATGGGAAAACCGAATGTATTCTTTTAGCGCTATTGCAGTCCCCCTTCTCGAATGATCGACATTTGCGACAACGTTATAGCCAGGAATCGAGAGCTGCTCGTTCTCCACTTCTTGCAGAAACACGATGTCAAGCTCCATCGTTCTGATATAAGTTCGGAAGGCGTTGAGTTTTGTTTCGTTGGTGATCGTGTTTATATTGATAGTAGCGATGTTGTAGCTGGCGATTGGATTCACGATTGGTTTTCCAGATTCCGCTCGTCGCTTTCTGGTTCTAAGGCGTCCTCTAGAGTTTGTGCTGTGCCGAGTCGTCTGTCTCGTTGCCATCGGACTTGCCACCATCAGGGGGCTGTTGACCGGACGTGTTGGACAGCGTTGGCTTTTGGCTCCGTAGCTTCGCATTTGGTTTGGTTGGTGTTGGTGCAGGCTGCTTTGTCCCATCGGCAGACGACTTCTGCGCTAGCAGCTTTTTGTTCTGCACGCAGGTGGCGCCGATGTGGATGAAATCCCGGCAGTGTCGGCAAGTTTGACGTTGACCAAAATAGGATAGCAACGTCGATAGTGACCCACGACTCGATGTTGTGTTTCACGATCATCTTGGCTGGAAATGCCCGGAAAGTACAAATCACCTCCGCACATGTGTTCGCGAACTGAGATGACGTCACCGTACGCGGACAGGAATTTGATGATGGCTTCGTCCGATACGTCCTCAGACAGATCGTACAACTTCACCTCCACTGCCCCGTCTTCCATGGTTATTCGCAGGGGAACCGTCTTCCCCTCACCCACTTCTTCTTCTTTCCTTTATTTAACGTCGGTCTCTGTCCGCAATCTAATGCCAATCACCGACGGACATCGATTGCCATCCATTGACGGCAATCGAATGTGCAGGAAGGCAGCTTCCACACCTGCGTAGGATATCGCACCCATTCAATTCAACACACATGGGGAACCCCTCACCCACTTGCACTTCGTGTTTTCCGTCGTGTTCTTTGCACACTTTTTGTGCCAGCTCCAGGTCGACGACCTTCACGAAGGCACACCCGAGACTTCTGCTACACTGTATTCTCAGCACTTCACCGGGCTTTAAACCCAACATGGTTCCAACAAAGTTTTGCACTTTTGCATAGTCCGGTTTTTTCGGCAACATCGCATAATCTATGCGGAATGTGTTCGCGCGACGCGCCATCGTGGAGTCGTAGTACGCGGGAACACGCTACGGCTCGGCGATGGAAAAACGCAGCGCGACAAACGATATATAGCTTGAGATTGACTTCCAGAAATAGCGATAGCGTAAGTACGTCTGCTTGGCTCGGAAGTTGAGCGCTGATGATGCAGCAAATGAGCAGTTCGTGACCAAAACTGTGTATGCCAAGCATGGTCATGCTACAATATAGAACAACCACAGTTCCTTCAGAAGCTAATTCGGAGTTTTCTTTCAGAATGTTCCGATCATAGTTCAAAAGTTAAAATGTTCGCATTCAAAAACAGCTAAAATATAAAATAAATTAAATTAGTAAATACCGATAAATACCGAGTTTTTAAAAACATTGATACCGATCAACTTTAAAACAATCTGGCAACACTGACCCCCACACAACGTGACTGTCTCGCGCAGACAGCAGCAGGCGGTAGCTAGCAGTGCTGCTAGAAAATAAAAATAATGAGCAGTTCGTTTAGTTAGTAATCAGTAATGGCTAAATAACTTTTTCCACAAACGTCGGATCGGTTTTGCGGTCTTCGAAGGAAAGTTTCCTAGGGAGTAGTTGCATTGATTCATTTAGACGACAAATGGGTGACCTCGTCAGATTTTTATTTGAAAAAGTAAGTTTTTCCATAGAAAGTCCTATGTAAAATTAAAACCGCTGGTGCTAAAATATAGTTCCACCGACCGACCTGAAATTTTACACAGTTACTACCAGCCTAGTGGTCACCTTGCTCCACATTTCCCTAATAGAAAATGAGAGTCTCCGAGTTCCGTAGTTTTTCCCCATCTGTCAAGCTCTGCGTAATGAGTTAAAAATCATTAACGAATACAGCAGCCTCTTGAACATGACACTCTCCATCCGCACCCGTTCAAACCAAGAATCGTTGTACAATATTCGTTTAATTCGAAAAATTGTGATTTCATGAACAAAACATCGCCAATTAAAACTGCCACTGTTTTCGTCTAACAAATAAAAATACACACACACAAACATAAGTTTATAGCAAATTTATCGAACAAAATCAAAATACGGATAAAATCTCGTTTGGTGCTCTTTTTACAAAATCTAAAATTGCATAATCCGCGCACGCAATCGTTTGATGAAAGTATAGAACAAAAACGAACAACCGCCATATGGGTACTACACTTCTTTCCTAATTATCGTACTAAATCATCATCACCAATCGCCGTGTGTAATTTCAACTGCCAAAAATAATGATCAAAAAAAAACGTATAGTGGTTTAGTTCTAGAGAGTTTTAAAGAAATCAAATTAGGTAATCGACAAAACTCGCAGCTAACATTGTGGTGGAAATCAAATGGATGGAAGGAAGGAATAAAGGTTTATGTACCTATATACCGGAAAGATATCAGAAGAGAGTGAAGCGAGCAAGCCACTCCCGTTGCAGACACTTGTTAATGAAAATGGTTCCGATTTAGTGAACCATCACTGTTCCCTCTTCGGTAGAAAGTAGAAGAACTGAATCAAAATCACACAAACTCGACTCATGTTGAAAACGACAAATATCTCGTCATCCAAATAAAGAAAAATGTAAATAGCAAATACTCAAAGAACTTAGTAGACAAATTGAAGTTTCTGTTGGAAGAAATAGTCAAACAAACGGTTAAGTTTCCTTACTTTTAGCCAAAGGTTAGCTTTAGCTGAAAAACTTCTAGCGAATTGTTTTATTTTTTTAGGTTAGAAATTCTACGAAAAAAAACATAGCTTTTTCTATCACTAACCAAACCCAAGAGCCAATCAAGTAAAAACCAAAACAATAGCACACTTTCCAGCAAAACAACTATAACTATATAGATCGCAGCAAAATGCGCAGAGGAAGAAAAGTGGTGGAATCATGTTGAAAAAGACTAAGACAATAAAAGATTACTAGAGCAGAGAAGACAACAACAAACAAAAGAGAGAAAGAGCATACCTTTATATATTTAAAATCAAGGAATTTCGCATCGTGTACAACAGGATTTCCTTTTCTATAGGTATTGATTGATATCTTAATTTTTTTTTATTTGTCTGTAAATGGATGATGGCAAACTGAGTAGTCAAACACATGCTGAAAAGAGGTATAAAACCCGTTTTAATTGATACAAATTGTCTAATTTACTAGCAAATATGATACAACTAGTTCAATACAATAGCAAACAAAAGAGCGAGAGATATAAGTAAACCAACCCATTGGTTAGGCTAAAAAAAAAGTGAGAAAGAGATGAAAATACCTACCAGCTCTGGGGGAAGCAAGAAAGAGACTTATTTAAAATTCAGCGAACGACAAGAAAGAATAGAGAAAAAATGTTAGAATCGGTTGAGATAAGCGAAGAAAAAAAAAAACAAAAACTGAAACTTATTAGAAACATGAGAATTATTGAAAACCAAAAATTGAAAACTTATTAAAAACCAGTAATAAAATAAATTGAGAAAAAAAAATAAAATCATCCATATCATTGAATTTGAAAAAAAAAACCCCAAGTGAAGTTTTCTTACAATCCGAAAATGTCATCCGAACCAAAGTAAATAAAAAAAGATCAGAAACGCAATGCTAATTTCAATATTTTTGCAATAATTTTTCCTTACTGATTTATTGAGAGAATTCTTCCAAAATCTCGGCTTCGCTTGAGAGTGCCGCCACTCGCTCTCATAACTTATTGGTTATTCGCACTCACTCTCGCCCCTCTCTCTCTACTTCGTTTGTTTGTTTTTTTTTTTTCAATCACATCACACTCACTCGCTTGATCTTCGTTTCGGTTCCCTTCTAAGCCCTCCCTCTTTTACTCGCCCATCGCAGCCTGCCACTAAGGTAGATTTTAAAGGTTGCAAAAAAGTAGTTACTTCTTTTATTTAACAAAGCATTAGATTCAACGATTTTTTTTTTTGTTTTGTTTAAATCTCATTTCTGCATGCTGTAACTAAGGTTCCCTTATTTGCTCAGCAATGGTTCATCTCGTTTCTGTCGTGTTGTTTAGATTATCAATTATAACTATTATCTTTAATTTGAGAGTCTCTCTGGGAGTGAGTGGGGATAAAGTTTCATTCAACTGGGCTTTAAATTATGCTGGTTTTTTCGCCGCTTTCAGCGTTCATAGTTGTAGCGAATAGGCTCAATAATTTCTCAAGTGCTTACCACATTTTCCACGTCATTTGGGATTTGCTCTTGCTGCTTGTGTCTGATAATGATGATGATGATGTTGATGTTGATGGTGCCGGTGTTCGATTGTTTGCTTGTTCACTTCAACTAATGCTCAACTACTACTGCCTAAGATTTTCGCTTCTTTTGCTGCTGCTGCTGCTACTGCTACTGCTAGCTTTCGGGGTTGTCAGTCGATTGGGTTGAGTCCACCCGCTGGTTGCATTATTCGGTGGGGTCGCTGTAATGGGAAACAAACCACATTTTATCAGAACGTCCAACTCTTTAAGTGAAGTTTGGATGGTATAATTTACCCCCCAACCCTCCTTCGTCATGTTTTCTATAATACCTTTAATATTGCTTGACACAAAATTTCTTTGTCTTTCTAAACTGCAGCAATTTTTCCATGAAAATAAGCAACTTTCTAGAAGCAGAAGATCCATAGAGGTAATTCTAAGACCAGAAGGTCCCGAAGAAAAGTGCTTTTTGGCTCAGCTCTGGTGCTCTCTTCGGTCCCAAGCTAATCGATGCACTCCTCGAAACATAGAAAAATCCACGAACCCCTCATTTTATCTGTCAAACTTTCATAGCGAATCAAAACAAACATGGTGTAGTACTAGAATTTATACTCGAATGGGCTAAGTTAATCGATTTTCTTGGGACCAATAGTTTCCACCGGTTGGTTGTACTAACGATTTTAAATTGGCTCACTACTTGACTACTTGCCTATTGGTCTCAAGCAAATCGATTAACTTACCCCATAATAGTCGAAATTCTAGTACTATACTATGTTTGTTTTGATTCGCTATGAAAGTTTGACAGATAAAATGAGGGGTTCGTGGATTTTTCTATGTTTCGAGGAGTGCATCGATTAGCTTGGGACCGAAGATAGTACCAGAGCTGAGCCAAAAAGTTGAGCACGTTTCTTCGGGACCTACTAGTCTTAGAGTTACCTCTATGGTACAACGGTAGTACAACCAACAATCAATACGAAACTAACGATTTTAAATTGGCTCACCACTTTAGTAGCCTATTGGTCCCAAGCAAACGATTAACGTACCCTATTCTAGTTGAAATTCTATTACTACACTATGTTTGTTTTGATTCGCTATGAAAGTTTGACAGATAACATCAGGGGTGTGTGGATTCATGCAGAACATGCAGGGGTGAGTAAAATAGCTTGGGACTGCTTGGGACCGTTGTTCTGGTACTGAGTGAGCCAAAAATAATAATGATTTTCTTCGGGACCCAGTGGTCTTAGAGTTACCTCTATGGTACAACAGTGAACTTTGTATGTCTGTACAAGGTTTATTGTTTATTGTTTATTGAAAAATCAACTGACAATTACTGTCTAAATGAATAAAACTTAAACTAAATAGTTACGGTCAACGGTACGGAAAAGGCCAAGTAGCCGATGACGAAACACGTCAGCTGATACATTGAAGTCGAACATATAAAAAAAGTTGTTGAATTGCCGGATGATTGCTCGAATTGGCTCGTGTTGTGTATAATTCCGGCTCCGTGGTTCCAAAAACAGAAAGTCGCGTTGACGAAGAGACCTCTCAGGGGCATTCATATTTAGCTGTGACAGCAGTGTTGGGCAGTCAATGTCACCTGTAAGCAGCTTTCCAGCGGACATAGCTTGAGCGACCGTCCGTCTCACCTCTAATGGCTCGATTCCCAGGAGACGGCAACGCTCCTCGTACGGTGGCAAGTTCGTTGGGTTACGCCAGTTGAGGAAACGAAGAGCATATCTCACAAACTTGCGTTGAACGATTTCAATTCTAGTGATCCAGCTAGCATGGAAAGGGCACCAAACAACTGAACTTAACTCCAATAAGGATCGCACAAGCGAGCAGTAAAGTGACCTGAGACATAGCGGGTCACGAAACTCGTCGGCAATTTTGAAAATAAAGCCCAATTGTCGATTAGCTCTGGAGATGATGTCATTGTAGTGGATTCTGAAAGTGAGTCTGCAGTCCAAGGTAACGCCGAGATCCTTTATGTGCTCTACACGAGCAAGACAGCGTCCGTAGAGAACATAGTCAAACATGATTGGTTCGATTTTTCGGTGATAGGAAATAATGTTACATTTTTCTATGCTTAGACTCATCAAATTTCTTGAGCACCAGTCAGCAAAAATACCTAACATATTCTGGAGATCCCAGCAGTCCGAGAGGCTTTTAATAATTTTGTAGATTTTCGTATCGTCTGCATAGAAAACGCGGCATCCTGATGGTATCAGCAAGGCGACATCGTTTAAAAAGATCGAAAATAGTAGCAGTTACTGCCTTGCGGGACTCCCGAGTTGTTTGAGAAAACATCCGATTCCGACACGCCAATCTTGACATGTACATAGCGATTCACCAAGTAAGATCTGAACCAATCCACAGCAGTTGACGAGATGCCAAGTATCTCCAGCTTGGCCAGCAAGATATTATGGTCCACCGTGTCAAATGCAGCTTTTAGATCCATATACGTCGTATCGACTTGCCATCCTGAATCCATGCATCGCAGACAGTTAGAAGTGAACTGCACCAGGTTCGTGGACACGGAGCGCTTCGGGTAGAAACCGTGTTGTTCTGTATCGATATAATTTTTGCAGCGTGCGAACAGAGCACCATTTATGATAATCTCGAACAGTTTTGAGCAGGCACACAGGGAGGTGATTCCACGATAATTTATGACATTCCGTTTATCTCCTTTTTTGTGCACTGGGAACAGATAAGAAAGTTTCCAGCGGCAGGGGAGCTCACATTGCTGTGCCGAGAGATTGAATAGCCTCGCAAGTGGAAGGCAGAGATTGGCTACACAACGTTTTAGAACTGATGACGGAATGCCGTCAGGTCCGGAGGCGAACTAGAGCTTCAGTTTGCGTGTTGCGGCTATCACCATGTCTTCTGAAATGCGCGGAATAACGAAACTAAACACATCACGTGGCATCCCAACAGCAGCATCCAGCACTTGTGTTGGCGAAGCGGAGAAATCGTTGAACACTTGCTTGAAATGACGAGCAAACAAGTCGCATTTTTCTCTTTCACTATTAGCCGAGTCATTCCCGAGAAACATGGAACAAGGCAACCCGGATTCCTTCCGTTTTGAGTTGACAAACGACCAAAAACTTTTCGGATTCGTGCGAAGGTTCGCTTCCGTGCGTCTCACGTGTCGATTATAGAGAAAACGATTGTAATTTCGATAACTACGACTCGCAAAATTGAACAGTCGTTTGTAGTACGGCGAGCGAGAGTTACAATACTTTCGGAGGGCGGCAGAGCGTTGACGTTTTAGCACGCGTAGGCGTGGGTTAGACCATGCAGGCTTTAGCGGAGGTCGTCGAGCTGGGACAATGTGGAAAATAGCATCTTCCAGTGCAGCACTGAAAAAATCCACTGCATCATTCACGCTAGTGGCTTTGCTTGGTATAAGCATAAGGTTGTTACGAAGCGGTCGGGGTTGAACATTCAGGTCAATTTGCCTCAGGATAGCCTCGCAATCTGTACTTAGTTGCAGGATATCGGCCACGGTTAGGGCTCTGCTTGTGTCACTTCTAGTCCGGAGAAGTTCTAGGTCGATAAGTTGACAACGGCTTTCGTAACAGGGTAATCGAAACGGATCATTCCAAGGCAATCTACGGGACGCAAAACGAAGGAAGCGACGTTGAACAGGTTCAATTCTCTCGGCACCGTTGTTGTAGCAAGACACTCAAGCGTCGATCGAACAAACGAACAATAGAGAGATTTTAGACAGTAGAGCTATCCTAAAAATGAACCCTAAAGTTCTTGATGCCTTATCGACAACATATGAAATGTATTGCTTGAATGATAGCTGCGAATCCAAGATCACACCCAAGTCTTTCTGTCGAAATTTGTCGCATATCTTATGGAGCTCATACGTAATATTTCCTCAGTGTAGCTTAGTTAGTGCACAGGGAGCCGAGGAAATTAATGAAGCCCTGTCCTTGTGTGCTCACGAAGCAGAGGTCCAAACTACGATCATTGTCGTTAACTACATGATTAATTTAATCCTCCGTTACTCGCGCCAACTATTGTCACACGAGTACTCGCGGGTTGTACTTTGTACAACAGTGTGAGTTTTCCATTGCCATTTTGCAGCCGAGCTACCAATCGATATGAAACCAACGGGTATTCGTTAAAAAACTTGTTTTTAACTAAACAAGCTTAACTTTTATCACAGTTAACCCCCAAACAATGCGGATAATAGAGCAAATGTGAATGGAAACCGCGTAAACGGTGTCCGTACTACGTGGGATTTGACTTAATTGGTTACAACATGGAAAATCTCGAGATCCTGACCAGATAAAAAATTACTGTTTTTGGCAAAGTTGTTCTAGAGATCATAACCTTTTTGCTGGTCGAGAGTAGTTCAGAAAATTCTCACTACGTGGCGCTAGTATATACGTGCAATTTTCGTATATACAACAGCTCGAGTTCCCTACCAGATAGAAAGGTACTGACTTCGGCATAGTTGTTCATGAGGTCAAGGCCTTATCGCAGGTAGACAGTAGTTCAGAATTTTCTCACTACGCGGCGCTAGTTTTTTTTTCCCCTTTGGTTTCTTTTTTCCGTCGATCTTGTTTTCCGTGCTGAGCACCAATGCTACCGACGTGCCAGGAAGGCAGCTCCCACACCTGGACCCTACCTATCGACCCATCAACTCAACCGGGGACCAACGGCTTTACTTCCCGAAGGAAGGCGTGATCAGAGATGTTATGCCTTAGAACATGCCGGTGGCGCCGACTGAGATTGGACCCAGGCCTGCTGGGGTGGAAGGTAATCACGCTTACCACTACACCACCGGTGCCGTTAAGCGGCGCTAGTGTACACGTGAAATTCTCATATTTAATATCTCGAGATCCTGACCAGATAGAAAGTTACTGTCTTCGGCAAAGCTGTTCAGGAGATCATAAACTTTTTTGCTGGTGAACAGTAGTTCAGAATCTTCTCACTAGGTAGCGCTCGTATACATGATAAGTTTTCACATGTGATACATCCTGACCAGATAGAGAGTAAATGTCTTTGGCAAAGTTGTTCATGAGGTCAAGACCTTTTCGTTGGTGGATAGTTGTTCAGAATTTTCTCACTACGCGGTGCTAGTATACACATGTAATTCTCGCATATACAACAGCTCGAAATCCTGAGCAGATAGAAAGTTACTGTTCTGGGCAAACTTGTTCAGGGGGTCAAGACTTTTTGGATGGTGGACAGTAGGCCAGCATTTTCTCACCATGTGGCGCGTTTACTAGTGTACAATTCTCGCGTATGCTATAGCTCGAGATCCAATGCCTATTGTTTGGCGCACAAAAGTTCAGAATTTTCACACTACGTGGCGTTAGTATACAAGCGAAATTCTCGCATGTAAAATATCTCGAGATTCTGATCAGATAGAAAGTTACTGTCGTCGACAAAGTTGTTCAAGAGGTCATAACGTTTTCGCTAGGGAAAAGTAGTTCAAAATTTTCTCACAACGTAGCGCTAGTATACACGTGAAATTCTCGCATGTGGTTTGTTTCGAGATCCTGACCAGATATAAAGTTACTCGACAAAGTTGTTCAGGAGGTTAAAGCCTATTGCGGCGCTAGTATACACGTGAAATTTTCACATTAGATATATTTCGAAACCTGCTAAACTGTCATCCGCAAAGTTGTCCAGGAGATCAAAACTTTTTCGTTGGTCGACAGTACAGAATTGTCTCACTACGCGACGCTAGGATATACGTGAAATTTTCACATATATAATATCTCGAGATCCTGAACAGCTAGAAGTTTACTGTTTTTGGCGAAGCTGTTAAGGAGATAAAGATCTTTTGGCTGATGAAAAGTAGTTCAGAAATTTCTAAAAACTTGGCGGGCAATTCTCGCATATCAAATATCATAAAATAAAAATACAATTTACATCAGCTTAAGTGGGATAGGACAAATATATTCTGGATTTCTTTTACTGGTGAAGAGTTTCATGCAGATTTGTGGATACAAAAATTGGAGTGACTCATTCCACTTGTTACCTTTGATAAATTAGTGGTAACACGTATCTCAGATGGAAAACATTATCTTAAAAGATCAATGTCGCTGAAACTTCCACCAAATGAATGTTTAGAGTCTCCCTTTCATTTTAGGCTATTTTCAAAATGTCTTATCGATGGGGTACAGAACAAAAAAAACCCTGTGTTTACGTGTGCACGGACAACGAGACTAACGCAGAGAGTGAGCCACTTTTGCTCAGTTGAATGGAGAAATTTATAAAACCGTACACTCCCGATTATAAGTTTAAGGACACCCCCAAAAAACATGCAAATGTGTTATGTTCATAACTTTGTCATTTTAGAGTCAAATTGCTCAATTAATTTTCAAATTTTGTATACCAATGGTTCATCTAAAGTTACACTATTTCTCAAAATTTACTCTGAAGAATCATGATTGATTTTCTCAGAATTTAATTGAAAAAAAAATTTTGAAATTAAAAGTAGTAGTAGAACCCTTATGCTATACCATTCATACCATTCAAATAACCTAAGGAGATCAAAAATTGGACATAAACTGAGAGAGCTTTGAGCAAAACACATTAGCATATATGTTGGGGGTGTTTGTAAGATTATGATCGGGAGTGTAGGTTACTCAGCGCTGAGTGAACTACGCTTTTGGAAATTTCTCCAGACAACTGAGTAAACAATCTCACGACTGAGATAGTCCTATGGCTCGACTGGCTAGCTCGTGTGTATATATTTTATACATTTTACATTACATTACACATTTTAGACGAACCTTATAGATTCTTCTCGTTTAGATTTAGGATAAGGTGTATGTAACCATAAATTCGACTTCACACTACCAGCAGCGTAGGAATACCGGTATCATGAAAGAGATGATAATTTTATATTATCAGGCCTTTTCTTTATGACTTTGGATGTACCTAAACACTTCGATTTTTTGCCGAGATGGGCATTTCCGAGCAGCATGGTATTTTATTTTACTGGATCTCAGCGTGCCACGTGGTGAGAAAATTCTTAACTACTGTCTACCAGCTAAAAAGTCTTGACTCTCTAAACAACTTTGCCGAAGACAGCAACTTTTTAGCTGATCAAGATTTCGAGCTGAATATGCAAGAAAGGCACGTATATACTAGCGCCGCATAGTAAGAAAATTCTCAACTATTTTCACCAAAAAAAAAAAGATCTTGACTTCCTGAAAAACTATGCCGAATACATTTACTTTCTATCTGGATCTAGAGATATTTTATATACGAGAATTTCACATGTATAGTAGCGCCGCGAAGTGAGAAAACACTGCACTATTGTCCACCTGCGAAAAGGCCTTGATCTCCTGAACAACTATGCCGAAGATAGTACCTTTCTATCTGGTTGGGAACTCGAGATATTTTATATGAGAATTTCACATGTATACTAGCGTCGCGTAGTGAGCAAATTCTGAACTATTGAGCACCAAGCAATAGGCTATGGCCTCCTGAGAGACAGTAACTTTCTATCTGGTCAGGATCTCGAGATATATCACATGCGAGAATTTCACATGTATACTAGCGCTACGTAGTGAGAAAATTCTGAACTACTGTCCACCAGGCTATGATCTCCTAAACAACTTTGTTGAAGACAGTAACTTTCTATCTGGTCAGGATCTCGATACATTCCATGTTGTAATCAATTCAGTCAAATCCCACGTAGTATGGTCAGTTTTACATTTTTCCTATTATCCGCACTTTTGATGTGTTTACTGTTATCAAAGTTTAGCTTGTTTAGATCAAAACAATTTTTTTTGAGGAATACTCGTTGGTTCAGATCGATTGGTAGCTCGGTTGCAAAATGGCAATGGAAAACTCATGTGTGTTGTATAAAGTACAACAGCGCAAGTAACGGAGGGTTAAGAAAGCATTGCTGCGCTGTAGTTGTCGAGAAGGCTAATAGCTCCTGCGTGAAATGTAGAGCTATCAGGATCTGGATACAGGATTCCGCTATGAGATGGACTCCATGAAACGCCTGGCAGATTGAAGTCACCCAAAATGAATATCTCCTCAATTGGAGTAGCACTTTCGATAACTGTGAAAACTGACCGAAGTGTGGCTCGAAGCTAAGCAAAAACCTAGTAACAACATTTGTGATCAGAAATGGTTTGATTTACACAAAATTGAGGAATAAGAACGAATTTTCTTTTTGCTCGAATGTTGTTCTACCGTTTGTGTTATGTAAGAGAGACGACGTTAGAGCATGAGTGTACCAATACAAGCAGGCTGTCGCGCACGACAACGAAGCGAGTGTAGTAAAAAAGGACGAAACTTCAAGACAATGAATATTTTGAGATCTTAGACTTTACTAGAATTAACTAATTCAACACTCGATGGATTTGATTGTAAAGCTGTTTCTTCAAAACTGGTGGCCAAAAGCAAAACAAAAAACAGCTCAAATAAAACTTGAAAAATTACTGTGACATGCGCAACTCACATGTTATCAATTTCCAAAAATCATTTCAGTTTTCAATTAGTAACAAACATTTTCCCATGCCTCACTCGGACATCGAACTCCTTACGCAGCAAGTGCATGGAGCAGTTCGATGAACGCTAAAACAAAGCTAACGCCAAGCTACGAAAGCCGTTGTCAACTTATCGACCTAGAACTTCTCCGGACTAGAAGAGACACAAACAGAGCCCTTACCGTGGCCGATATCCTACAAGGAAGGACAGATTGTGAGGCTATCCTGAGGCAAATTGACCTGAATGTTCAACCCCGACCGCTTCGTAATAACCTTATGCTAAGACTGCCTCTACGTCGCACAAATTATGGAGCGTACGGTACGATTTGCGGACTGCAGAGAACATTCAACAGAGTTGCATCTGTTTTCGACTTTCATCTTTCCCGTGATGCGCTTCGTCGAAAGTTTTCTTCTGTTTTTCGCCGGCAGGAGTTAAGATATTGACTATAAGATATACGTTTTTTAATGTTTTTTTATGTTATGACCATGCTTGAATGTAATTTTTTTTTTACCATAGTTGATAAGGTTTAAATCATTGGGGCTTCATCCAGCCTGTTGATGTAATTAAATAAATAACAAATAACAAATTCAATAACCCATACTCGGCGTCTAAGGGTATCGTATTGCTTGTCGCCAAGGCGCACTCCGGGCAACCGATATTCCTAGTTGCTAAGCCGTTTTCAGCGCAACCGACTTAACCAATTTGCCTTCTCCAAATTCTTTCTCTTTCTCACTCTCTCATCCTCTCGTTTGTTAATATCGATCGCTGATTGGTGATCGTTTACATAAACTGTCACATAATGACTTCAGGTGTCTCCCGTAGGAAAAAATGTGTTAAGGAATATAATTTTGAATAAAGATTATTATTGTTCTAACCACCAACGAGCACGTTTGTGATTTCAAAAAGATATCACAATCCAGAAGAATCTGTAGGGACAAACATTACAAAGGCAAATACAATTGAACGCAATTTAAAAAAAAAACCCACAGACTTAGACGAACCAAAATGCTCCTCTTAGATCTTAAGGGTCATCTGAGTATTTAAAATAAGTTTCAAATAAGTCCATTGGTATTGAGTAATGAAGATCATATGCCTAAAAAACATGCCTTTAAACATACGGTAACAGTCTTCAGTACAACTCGTAGTGAATGAAAGGTGGAGGACCTTCTATTCGTTCAGGATCAATAGTATTTTATACGGACGGCACGAAAAATCAAGATGATGAAAAAGTTTTCAATTCGAATATATAAATGCCCTCTCGTATTCTACTATTCAAGAATGCACATCTATGCATTTCTTATGATTCTAATGCCGTTAGCACCTTAGCACCAGTGCATATGATTTCGATCCCCAAGTATAAGTAGCAAATAACACTTACCCCGCGAACGACTTTGAATGTTGACCGCCAAGCACTTCGTCGTCTTGATTGCCCATCGATTTTTTGACGTACTAAAAATAAAAAAATCAAATGAATTTAACCTCTTTTCCCCAACCTCAAGGGTTCCTCGAGAAGTTACGTACCACCGGATTGAGCATGATTTCCTCCTCTATCTTGAGAATCTGCTTGTTCAGTTCCATCACGCGTCCGATTTCCTGCTGCACCTTGTGGAACATGTCCGGGCTGTCGTACTTTTCCGGATCGTCCTTGAACACCACCATGCCGTCCTTTTGGTTGATCGAAGCGAAAATTTCACCCGATTTGATCTGGAACCGAAAAATACCAAATTTTACGACATAAATGTATATGTTTCGATCATTCAGCTAGCTACCATGTTGAGGATGTACTTTTCCGCCTCAGCCGGCCCCGATAGCTGCACCCTGCTGGCCACATCGGCCAGCGATAGCGTCAGGAACGTCTTCGTCAGGCGCTGGATGTTCTTTTTGTACAGAGAAGAAATGACCTGCTTCACCAGGCCCATGTTCGTATCCCGGATGAAAGAGTCCCGGTACTTGTTGATCACGTTCCGCACCTCATCGCTGTTGGAACTATTGTAAGCGCTAGACAGATCATGATACGCGTGGCTCAGCGGTTTCATAAACCGCGAAATGACCTGGGAGGAATATTTCGGAATTGGAATGACCTTCCCGTGCAGTATCAGCGAGATTAGTATGTACTTTTTGTACGACTCTAGCATGATGTGCGACATGGCCAGGGCCGGTGTGGAAACGGCCACTTCGAAGAAGTACAGCGCACGTTCGTAGTTTTTGACCGCCGCATAGATCATTCCGCCGTAGTAGTAGTAGAGCAGGAAGTATTTTGTGTCGTGATTACTGTCCTCGATGGTGGCGATTGAGGTAATGTCCACATCCAGGAAGCGTAGCACCGGACTAAATACTTTGGCGCTCAGACACAACTGGCACAGATCGGCATGGACGGGCGTTAGCTGGTTGTCGCATAGCCGGATCTTCTCCACGGCCAGTGATAGCACCTGGATGCCCTGGATTGTGCGCTGTTTGTTTTTGACCAGCGCCGACGTGAACTGGTGACAGAGTTCAAAGTCTAGAAGGAAGAATAAGACCCATGAATACCAGATGCTTCTACCTACCGCTATCCTGCATGTGCGATACTTACATGGTTGTGTAGCGAATCGGACCTGTTCTCCATTGCATAAGGTAATGAACTCTCTGACAACCCGTAGGACATTTTCCGTGTCGTCGTGATTCTGCGGAGGATGAAACAATGCATGAAAATCACAACTCTAGACAATGCGAATCGAATCCTCTTACGTTCGGTTCACTGAATTTGACCACCAGCACGAACAACACCCCTAGCGAGTGCTGCTGGATGTCGAGCGTCTCCAGCACATTGTCCAATATGTTACCGTTCTTCGCCAGCAGTTCTGTCGATTCCAGCAAATATTCAACCAGCTCCCGGAAGTTTCCTAAGGATGAACAACCGAAATCAATGTTGCCCTCTTTCCGTTTCACAAACACCCAACTCACCGGCATTGCTCATCGTCCGGACATGATTGACGTAATGCTCCAACGGCGATGCCATGATTCCCCACAACGCGCTATCTAACGAAAACAAATCTTCGCCCCGTCGACGTAATCCTCCGGTTCCTGGAGCACGGTTCGCAACAACAAAACAACCTACTACCAAACACGCAGCAAGGGACTGTTCCCGAATGTGTCAAAAACCTCTGGCTCTCTGCACTCACTCACGACGGCAGGCACGACACAGCCGACAGGGAGATGCGAACGATGTGCAAAATAAAAAACTATTTTTGCATAGCTTACTTTTAGGATCCGTCTCGGCAAACACCTCCAACGGAAGTTATTTTTAATCGTGAACACACTGTCGGTGCCAAATTCACCGATAAGATGCAATTTTCTCTGCAAATTTTAGTATTCTTTCCACGGTATACAACACATCTCTCGCAGAAGAAAGGTGGAAAAGTGACATTCGAATGCGAAAATTCGTCGACGAGCGAGCGGCGGCCTTTCGACTTATGGTGAAACCAATACACTCGCACCCAGGCAGATGATGTTGTTGAATCTGCAGTGATGGTGTGCGTGTGATGAAGGGAGAGAAAAGTTTGACGTTGTGCGCGACGTTGGCCCGATATTTACGTATCTTTAGAGTGACCATCAATACTTCATATGGATGGCAGTACACTGTACCAACGAGCAATGTAAATGTAATAGTACGTTCAGACTACAGAGTTATAACCACAAACGAAGTGACAGACGGAGCGGCTCGAAAACTTTGGTGACTAACCTGCTATTGCAATTTTTCAGTGTACCACATGGCAACACCACTACTACTGGATTGTACCACATGGCAACACTACTACTAGATTGAACTAGCATTTTCACCAAATGTACTAGAATGTTTTGGTTCTATCTCTTTCACTCTACTCAAAACTGAAATGCATAAAAAAATGACAAAATGATACGCACTCTTTGCACACTGTCAAAGAATCATTGTACACAAAATCAACTTTGTTCAAATCAAAACAATAAAACTAACCCATCTGGTGGATGATGGCACAAGCTTCCAAGAAAATTCTATTACAGTGAACCACATTATTTAAATGGATTTCTTCGCCAGTTAGTCGTCTGTCACTTCGTTTGTGGTTATAACAACAATCAATACGAAACTAACGATTTTAAATTGGCTCACCACTTTAGTAGCCTATTGGTCCCAAGCAAACGATTAACGTACCCTATTCTAGTTGAAATTCTATTACTACACTATGTTTGTTTTGATTCGCTATGAAAGTTTGACAGATAACATCAGGGGTGTGTGGATTCATGCAGAACATGCAGGGGTGAGTGAAATAGCTTGGGACTGCTTGGGACCGTTGTTCTGGTACTGAGTGAGCCAAAAATAATAATGATTTTCTTCGGGACCCAGTGGTCTTATGCCTTGTTCAGACTGGAGAGTTATAACATGTTATAACGGTTGTCAAATAATTTCAACACAGAAACCACCATCAAGATAGCGCTATAACATGCTATAACTCTGTAGTCTGAACGTACTATTATAGTACGTTCAGACTACAGAGTTATAACATGTTATAGCGCTATCTTGATGGTGGTTTCTGTGTTGCAATTATTTGACAACCGTTATAACATGTTATAACTCTCCAGTCTGGACAGCGCTTAAAACGCTGTCCAGACTGAGCAGTTATAACATGTTATAACGGTTGTCAAATAATTGCAACACAGAAACCACCATCAAGGTAGCGCTATAACATGTTATAACTCTGTAGTCTGAACGTACTATAATAGTACGTTCAGACTACAGAGTTATAACATGTTATAGCGCTATCTTGATGGTGGTTTCTGTGTTGCAATTAGTTGACAACCGTTATAACATGTTATAACTCTCCAGTCTGGACAGCGTTTAACCTTAAAATTCAGGTAACTTTTCAAAGATAGTATTTCAGGCATAACATTTGATAACGGCACAAAATCATTTGTAAACAATCTTTCTAAGGCCATTTACACGCAAACCAAAGTACGCCCACGCAAACCAACAACAGATAAAATGAGGGGTTCGTGGATTTTTCTATGTTTCGAGGGGTGAATCGATTAGCTTGGGACCGAAGAGAGTACCAGAGCTGAGCCAGAAAGTTGAGCACGTTTCTTGGAGACCTTCTAGTCTTAGAGTTACCTCTATGATTGTATCGTTAAAAATCGAAATCTATTTTTTCTCCCGTACAATAATTTAACAATAAATTTTAATGTACTCAAAATTCAACAGTAAAAATCATTTTAATTTCGTTGTTTTATTATAATTATTTTTTTCGGGCATCGATTTTGCGAACAAAATAGGCAGCGTTGCCAGATATACCGATTTATCGGTGTTTATACCGATTTCCGAACTAGATACCGATATACAGATAAGGTTCCTCAGAATACCGATTTTTGAGGTGTTATCGATATATACCGATTTTTTAAATAATCAAAATCAAAATGTTTGTGTGAGACTTGTATCTTTTTGAATATCTAAATTTTTTTGAGTCTTTAAATTCTAAAAAAAAATCATCTTCAAAAATGTCTTATGGATATTTCAATTTCCCCACCATTTTTGGCTACCCATGAATCGATAAACAGTCGATAGCTCTTTCTTGTAATTCCGGGTGAATCGGGAAATACTTTTTAAACATTATTTAACTTCCTGGATTTTCTTCCATTTTTCCCCAGGAATTTTCTATTTACGATTCCTCTCGAAAGCTTATTTCGACTTCTCTTGAAAGCTTCTTCAGCCTTCACTCGAATGATTCTTCCCGGAACTTCAGGGATGCTTCTAGATTTTGATTGCGGATCCACACTAGCTGCAGGAACTTTTGAAAAAGTTCTGAAACTTCAGAAAAGTCCAGACTTTTAAGTAAGTTTCGATAAATTAAAGAAAGTAGCTTGTGTTAAAATTCTAAACTTAACGAGGCATCATAAATATTTTGGATACTTCGCAAGGCCAAAGAACTTCTGGAAAATTTAATGGTTTTCAGGACAGTTCCATTAGTTTCTGGAGAATTGAGAGAACATTAGGAAGCTCCGAGAACATCAGGAAGCTCCGAGAACATCAGGAAACCTTCAAAGTTGATTAGAGATATTCCGGTAGTCTCATCATAATCAGGGAAATTTCAAGTATTTCAAAGATGATCAGAGAACTCCAAAACAGCCCGTGGAAATATGGAATATTCCTAAGTACATTTCAGGAATGTTCCAAAAATTTCAGGGGCATTGCGGGGTCTTCGGGATTTTTTATGACCATTTGGAAAATTTTCTGGATCATTAGAACATCCCCCAAGAGCTCTTTCTTTCAAAATTATGCCCTTGTTTCTTTCGACAGTTCCATAAGCGCTCTGGCTTCCGACTTTCTCCAGATTTTTTTTCCAATCTACCTTAGGAAGTTTCTGCCAGCATCTCCAAGAAGTTTGGTCTGTCTTCTCCAGGAAATTCAATTAAACTTCTCCCAGAAATTTCTTTCGTCTCGTTCTGGAATTTTGTCCAGTTGTTTTTTTTTACTTCTTTCGGAAGGTTTTTCCGAGCTTCTTCTGGCTTCCCCTGGAAATGGCTACTTCTGGAATTTACAGAAGGAAACAAATAAACTGCCCATAAAGACGGTAATAAATAAAAACTGAAAATTTTCATGCATTTCCAAATGGTTTCCTACCATTCCCATACATTCGAAAGTGATTGTTGGTTATACACAGAAAAAAAAAGTTGTGGAATATTACATCCAAACTGCTGCAACCAGGTCAATCCATCGGTTGTGTAATATAACGTTGGACGATGTACATCGATTTTGCGAACAAAATTACATCGATTGATGTAATATTGTATCTGCTTTTTGCTATTACATAATTATTTCATACATCAGCTTGAATTACATTGATCGATATTACATTTTTTTTTTGCTGTGTACCATAGAGGTAACTCTAACACTAGAAGGTCCCGAAATAACGTGCTCAACTTTTTGGCTCACCTCTGGTACTCTCTTCGGTCCCAAGCTAATCGATTCACCCCTCGAAACATAGGAAAAAGCAATAACCCCTCATTTTATCTGTCAAACTTTCATAGCGAATCAAAATAAAAAATTGCGTAGTACTAGAATTTCGACAAGAATAGGGTACGTTAATCGTTTGCTTGGGACCAATAGGCTACTAAAGTGGTGAGCCAATTTAAAATCGTCAGTTTCGTATTGATTGTTGGTTATACCACAGACAAACAGACATAACACATTGAATATTTCTCACTGTAGAACATCGTCGCTAAAACATTACCGCCATCTGTTGAGTACACTGTGGTGGGCACTACACTGAACAGATGGCGGTAGTGTGTAAACGTCAAACGCAAGGGAATTGACTATGCGCGCCACAGGTGGCGGTACTACCAACTACGATACTTTTAAATTGTCCGTTAAATGCTTGTTCGATGAACAACTTGCGAGAGTTATGTCTGTTTGTCTGTGGTTATACCATAGAGGTAACTGAAAATAAGTGTTTTCTGCAAAATAGTATTCCTAACTATTATCTTTGTTTCAGTGTAGTTTTAAAATAGCGTGCACTGTGCGCGGGTGAGAAGTTAGCCCTCATTCTCTGGTGTTCATTATTCATCTCCCAGTACTGTGATGTTTACACCGCTGTCGATTTTGGTGCATATCTCGCTTTTTCCGTTTGTGTTGTTTTTCTTTTCTTCTCTCGTCGGTGACAGCCGCCAGCCAGAATCCAAAAAATCCTAATGTTCGTGCCGTATTTTTTGTTTTAATAATATTCATAATCACCGAAACTACGTGTGAAAACTTTTTGTTAAATCCTTGTGTCGTTTGATAAAAATGCTACGTCCAAAATGATTGTGAATGAAAGTGAAAAAATGTATCTGGTAAGCGTAAAGTGATCGGGTGCTTTGTTTTGTTTTGGTTTTTGGGCGGATTGCATCAGACTTTCCGGCAAAGCAGACGATGGAATCCGGAATTGCCGTAAGTATTTCGAATGTGCTGGTTGAATGCTTAGGATTAGTTAATTAAAATGGTTTATGGGTTCACTGCAGGCATTTGATCCCAATGACATGATTATCTACTCACCGGAAGAGTCGGAAGATGCAGGCGAACCTCCACCGGAACCAGAAGCTTCTGCAGCAGTGGCAGTACCGGAAGCTGTTGTTGCTTCGCAGGACAAGCAAGCTGAAGGTATTTCGGCAATCGATTTGGCTGCGATTTCCGGGGAAGAGATTCAGCTAACAGTTGCATCCGTTTCCGTCGGTACTGCTGCTGGACAGTTGCGGAATCCATTACAAGGGGCACAGTTCAAGTGCAAGTTTTGTCCGGCATTTACCACCACGGCTGAAGATTTTATCAAACATTTTATTATGCACTTTGGACGGAATCGGATATCGTACAAGCAGATGTCCCAGGAAGAGGCTCGCGCTTTGCCTAATGCTTGTGAAAAGTTTGTTTGTGGGATTTGTGCTCGGTGCTTCGAAGCGAGGGATGACGTGAAAGAGCATATGATCAAGGATCATGGGTTTAAGGAAGCTAAACCAAAGCAGCCTGTGGAAGCTCCTCCGCCGACGGTACCCACCGCTTCCGGGGTGAAACGGAAATTGGATGATGAGTTTGTTGATTCACAGAAGCTTGACCTGAGTGGAGCTAGCTCGTCCAGCTCGTCGGATGAGGAAACTAAAGAGAACAAAGCTCCCTTGTCGGCGAAAGCCTCCGTAGCTGTAGTTCCTCAATCCGCTGTGTCGGGAGCATCCGTGACTGCGGCAGCGGTGGCAGGAACAGCAGTCGCTGTCGTTAGCCCTACTGCTCCGCCGCCAGTAGTCTGTGATAGTGAAACACCAAAATCTTCTGCGAATCAACCGCCTGCAGCTGGAGGACAATCTTCTGATCCGGCAGGTAGTGCTGTTATTGTTGCACCCATAGTTCCAGTGCAAGCGTCAAAGTTGGCCGATGGGGACGATGCCGAATTGGACGAATTTCTTCAACCGATGACGCTTAAAGCCTTGAAGCTAAAACTTTTGGCCGGACTGAAGCTGAAGTGTCCCCAGAAAGGTTGTGTGTACAAGTTCGAAACTCGAGCTAAGCGGGATATTCATCTCAAGTGTCATAACGTAGAACCGGTACTGATTGGACCAGGTGGACCAGTGCCCGGCGGAGCTGGTGCCGGGAAGGATGAGAAGAAGGACAACTTCAAATGCTACCAGTGTGGAGTAGAGTTTCCTCGGTGGAGGGAATGTTCCCAGCATCTTTGGAAGCAGCATAAAATCGACGTGAATATGCTCAAGTGCCCGGTTTGCGATGTACGGTTCGAGTTTGCCGGTAGGTTCTGGTTTTGGTTCATGTTTGGATGGAAATTTTGAATGGTTGATTTACTTGCAGTGAAAGTCTACCGGCACCTGCAGACGCATCGTCCGGTGAAGGCCTACACGTGTCCGTCTTGCAGCAAATCGTTTGCGACCCATTCGCAGCTGTTGGTTCACGAAGCGCTTCATAAGAAGCAACTGATGCAACGTACCAAGCAGCAGATTGCCGTGGCGAAAGAGGCCAGTGCTGGGGAAGATGGAAAGGAGAGGGATGCCGATAACGAAGGCAATGGAGACGATGATGATGACGAGGAAGCGAAAGAGGCTGATGGGAAACCGAAGGCGGAAAAGCTACCGTGGTATGCCGAGAGGAAGTGCGATATCTGCGGTCACATGTTTAGCACATCAAAGATCTTGTCCAAGCACATCAAAACGGTACATCATAAGATTAAGCCCTTCATATGTAGCGTTTGCGGATACAAGTCGGCTCGGAAGGTTACCCTAACGGTGAGTGCATGGTAACTTGGTGACTTTATGCTATAGTCAATATCGATCCTTTGTCACTTTGTAGATTCACATGCGTCAGCATTCGGGTCAAAAACCTTTAGAGTGCAAGGAATGTTCTTTCCGTACGGCGGATCCCAGTGCTCTCAAATACCACGAGAAGCGTCATACCAAGGTGAGCTATCGGTTTGAGTGCGTAGTTACATCATACTTCTGTTTTTTTTTCACCTCCCCCAATAGGACAAATGGTACGAGTGCAAGTTCTGCGGTCTTCTCACAATCCAAGCCAGCGGCCTGAAGACCCACATTCGTTTGAACCACCCGAAGGAGTACGAATCGATCAAGTGCGATCTGTGCAATTTCACCTCAATTAACCCGGAACTGCTGGTCCGACACAAGAGCGACCACAAGGCCGGACTGATCAAGAGTGAAGATTCGCACGATTCGGTCTCCTCGAAGCGGTCCAAAAACGCCCCGGAAAGCTCGTCCGATTGTTTCCTTCCGATCGAGAGCACCGACTCGGTGGTACACGATGCTGGTGGGTTTACCATTCCGGCAGTGATCAACGCTCCGGTCGCCCACTCGGAGGAAACCCAGTTTCCCACTTGATAGAAGGTTTGTGAACTTACACAAGGTTTACACTTGTATGAATACGAATACAGATTCTCCTACATGTATGTTAGCCTCTACAGCAAGCAAACACTATACAGTATATATTACGCGTGCATATGAAAGTCGACTGCTTCAAAAGCCGTTTTTATTTATTAGGATGTTTTTAAACGCAACATATTACACCATATTGTAATATTGGCCGAGTAAAAAGTGTTTAACTTTCAATATCTTGTCAAAAGCGCTCGCTTGTAAGATCAACCCTTCGGACATTTTCATCTGCCGTTCCTAGTTTGAAGAATCACTTCACAGCACTTTCACCATAGTCTTTGCTTCCGAGTGGGGTCCATCAGTGAGGAACACCTGCTGTTCGTGTTCATCTCTATAGTCCGCGTAAGTCAACGCATAACAGCTTTCCATCCCTAACCTTTCCAACAATTTCACCGAGTAGACGCTCGTCGCATCCGCACTAACCACCCGAATCGCACACTTCCTGGCGTACTCGAACTGCTTCTCTACCAAAATCCTCCCCAGCGATTTCCCACGAAAACCGGAATCAACCGCCAAACAGTGCACGTGATACGCCCGGTCGACTCCGAATCGTTCAAAGACGTTCGCTTCCCTCGAAAGGTGAGCCAACAGGCGCAGGATATCGGCAAACTTCTTCGTTTCGGTTCGCTCGGCCGCATCCATCAATTGGTCGGCTTCTCCCCGTTCGATGAAAGAACCTCCGCACATTCCAATAATTTTCCCGCTTCCTTCCTGCACGGCCAGCCAAACGAATCCTTCCTCGATGAGGGACAGCGTGAACTCCATATCGTCTTCCGTGACATCCTTACCGAGGTAGTAACCGATGGTTAATGGTTCCTCGGGATAGAAGAATCGTGCCAGAGCCTCCCGGTAGGCTTCCCTGTCCGCTGAGATGGCCTGCCGAAATTCGATACCGTCAACCTTGGTGCTCATCTCTTCAAAGATGAACTAAACTCAACAAGTGCTGAGATGCAAAGATTGAGCAAAATCTAATCTAGTGTTAGATTTCAACGGCGATGAACGTGAGATAATACGGGGAATCCACTGCAACATTGCAACATTCGGCTGAATAGTTGCGGCGGTGGGAGATAACATCGGTAGTTTCCCACGACCACACGTTGCAGCATTCGTTGGCTGGTAGAAGCATCGCAACAGAACTGATTATTTCAAGTATCTGTAGGTCGAGGTACTTTAATATATTATAATTTATGCAGATTCCGTCGGTGAACGTAATGCCCACATAGCTAGAAAATCTTGTTATTAAATGAATATTGTGTTTTTTTTTTTAACAATATCGACATGTTGATTTCCTTCGTTACCTTAGACGTATACGTCTGTCATCAGCTCAGTGCACAGTGGTCCAGAAAGTAAATGTAGCTGGAAAGATGGGTTTTGAGCTTGAAATTGTAACTTTAGCAAAATGTTGTCTTCTGCAAAGTTGATGCTATGAGTTGGGCGCTTATTTTAGTGTCAAGAGATACTAGGGTGGTCCTTATTGTAATTGTAATTATTCAGTGTATAGGCTTTGCCAACCGCTAAGTTGGCTTATCTAGGGACTAACCCCCTAGTCTATACACCTACTGTTCGTCCCGTTGCACTCGTCAGCTCGTGCGATACTCTAGACACACATGGGTGGTCGTATCCGGGTCCTCCCCTGGATAGGCTCGTGTCCGTCCAGGTTCTGGTACATTAACTTATATCTATGCATGGTAATTATAGGCCCCAATTATGTAAGTCGAGTCGAGCGTCGAGTAGCTTGACATTCTCGTCGAGTAACTCGACACTCGACGCCGTCGAGTGGCTGTCGAGTGTAGCAAAAATAGGCATTATGGAAGTCTACTGAATCAGATTGAATTGGCCATAAAACGCTAGCGTAATGTCATTTTTGACAGATAACGATCAATATTTTTAATGATTAATAATATTCAAGTTTGTTTTTGTTGTTCCGTTGAAGATGTTTTTGTAACAATATTGATGTTGGTGTAATTTTTTGTTATTAAAGAAATTGAGGTTTCATGTTGGATTTCAAGTATTTTAATGGCATTTAGCTTGTGGTTCAACTGTTATCGTAAGTTGTCGGATCTTTGGTCCTAGTCGTGATTCTTTATCCTGTATTGAAACCACGATTAAAATAAGTCTCAGTAGTCTTCCAGTTAGTCGCAATCTGCTTTGACTACCAGAGAACGATGTGGACAAGTTAGTGTTGATTTTTTCTACGAAGACGAGGATAACCAAGAGGAGCTGGTTAATATTTCTATAATGCGTAGAAATATTCGCGATACTTCAAATCAAATGTCGTTATCAGACAATGAGTAAATAAATACTAGTGTAGCATATTTGATTATTGAGCATTTCTAGCCCAAATCGCAAATCGGTTGGATATGATGATTTCCGATTTGCATGAATGTTTGCGCATGTTCTTTACCACCCAATGCTGCATTTTTCATTGAGATCTTTTTACCCTTCTTTCAAAGAAGGTTAAGGTACACCTGGGCAAGTGAGAATAGGTAGTTATTAAGGATTGTTACCGCAATTTCTCGCTTGGCCTAGTTCAGGGAATGTGAAGGTATAGTCCATACCTTCAATTGCCCTGAACTAGGTCAGGCGGGAATCTGCAGTAACAATCCTTAATAACTTCTTATTCTCACTTGCCCAGGTGTACCTTGCCCACTTGGAAGCAAAGGGGTGCAAGTGATTTTGAGCGATTCTTTTCATCGACTGTTTTTTATAACCAAACTAGTTATAAACAAACTAGTTTCGCGCTATTTCGGATACATAGCTTGCTAAAATAGATTCTCATTCAGCATTCAGAATGGTAAGCGCATCAAGAAATGTGTTTGTAACCGAATTATTAACGAAAGAGAAAATCAATGAAGAGAATTTCTCAAAATCACTTACCGTGAAGTGCCCTTATTCCGTTCAGCGCCTAATTCCGGTCATTTTTGGCTTTATTTGCAATACATTGGAAAGTTTTCTGAATTAAATATTTTTCCAATATAATATTTGTTAATATCTTCTTGCACATTTACCTTAATTTGAGATTTTTACATTTTACATTATTTTGGAATTTTTCAAAAATCATTGGAATAAGGGGCTTAGGTGAACGGAATATGGATACTTTACGGTACACCCCTTGCTTCTAACCCCCTCTTTTTTATTGAACTAACCGAATTTGATGTAAGCGGCATGAAACAGACATTCTACACACTTAAAATTTTTTACAAAAATCTGTAAAATTTTACCGAAATCTCAACAGCTGAACGTTCGGTAAACAGTTTCGCAGATTTCCTGTAATTTTTCACAAATATCTGTGAATTTTTCACAGATATCTGTAAATAATTACAGGAAAACTGTAAAACTTTTTACCGAACGTTCAGCTGTTGAGATTTCGGCAAAATTTTACAGAAATCTGTAAAATAATCTTAGTGTGTATAAACTGCCCATAATCGCATAATTGTCCCATCTTTGCTTGGTTTCCTATTCATATAGGACAGTTATGCGATTATGGGCAGTAAACGTCTCGGATGTTCGATGAATTAACCGGAGTAATATTGCAGGACTTGTTAACAATCTTTCTAATTGACTTTTATATTTACAGGTGATGCTGGCTTTCCACAAGAACATGTGTTGCTAACGCCATACAGAAATGCTCAAGTTGGCAGTCGTGAACAACATTTCAACCACAAGCATAGTCAAGCTAGAAGCATTATAGAGAGGGTTATTGGCATACTGAAGTCTCGATTTCGTTGCTTGCTAGGAGCCAGGGAACTACATTACAGTCCAACGAAGGCAACGTCGATCATAAACGTTTGCGTTGCTCTTCACAATATATGTCGAACTTACAGAATAGAAGACCCACCAAATGAAGCTATTCAAAGTATCGTTAACGAAATTGATAACCTTTACAACGGTAGCGAGGAAGATAGTGCAACTAGAATCAGGGATAATATAAGAGATTGTTTGTGATGTTCTTGCAAAGTGGTAGATATGGCTCAATCATGATGAAGTATATTTATATACCGATATATTCGTTCTGACAATACATAAGTCTGATATGTACATATTTTGATTGTTTCTTTAACATTAATCGTTCGAATAGAAAATATTCTTAGAATCACATTCCCTGCTACGTTTGTAAATGTTTACTTGTACATTGTATTTTATTTTATTCTGTCGATTTATTCCTCAACTGCTTCAAATCTAACTTCCGTTTTTTCAACTCGATTTCTTTCTGTTTAAGTTCTAGTTCTCTAACTTTCAGCTTCCTTTTTTCTAGGTTATCTAAAGCTTTCTGCCATGCGTTATCTTTCAAAATTTTATTTTGTTCGTTTTGTGCACCCACAAATTGTTGTAAGCTTTTAGCGATTTTGTAAGTATTTTCCTCGAGTTTTTTTTATTTTTTTCAGCGTTTCCTCCTGCATGTCAGTTTGTTTAATCAGCAAGGCACCCCGTTCTTCTATAGCTGTTTTCCGACGACTCGGCCTACGACTGGAATGACCATTAGAATGGACTGCCGGTAGTTGGTCTTGACAAATCTCATCTGTCGTGCCGTTGTTGATTGCGGAAGAAACAGATGCTGCAGCGGCGGAGAGGCTTCCAGGGTCATCATTATGCTCCACAGTGGGAGGAGTATTTTCATTGTCGTTCAAATCAGAACGTTGATCGCACCCAAATGAATTGCCTGCCGGGTTCATATTGGCAGATATACCATGATATACTGAGAAGTATATCAATTTCTTGTTGCAGCGCAGTGAGTTGTCTGATTTTGTTAGGACCCCCACCTGTTGCTCTGAATTCTCGCTTGTTATCTGCCAGGATTTTTTTCACCTTTCCCTTTATGTCAATCCAAACCTATCAGAAATTGGATTGAAAAAAAATGTATAGTAAATCGATTGCTATTTAATAAATGCTAATGCTGATGGAACTGGAAGAGTCAAATGGAAGCGGAAGTAGAGAACAAGAATGACATTTTTTTTTTTTTTTTGGTTGGTTTCAAGAGCAAATTTTCATTATGTCGTAAATAACATTCGCACCAATCCGAGAAAAATAAAGTTTTGTTTTGATGATCGAAAAGTTATTCCTATTTCCAAGTAAACACATATAATCTCATAGTGATAGCAATGTTTAACATACCGTGCGGGACCGAAATCCGTACACCCTGTTGAATTTGTTTATTTATATGCATCATAACAATGTAAATATTATACATGAATACATATTCATGTTCATTCATGCATTAGCTTAATGTTTACGTCAACAATTAAGCAGAATGTCATGCAATTAAAATAAGAAAAATAAAAACCTTAACACGTGTCGGGCATTTCTGTCAATCGGTTGCGTTCTTAACGATTTTCTAAGAAAATCTCTCGGATTTACTTCAGTTTGTTAAGCGTATTTCAGTGATGTTTGCAAGTAGTTTCCCGAAGGTCGATCGAAAAGGTTAGTGTTTATCGTTTTATATCTCAATTCTAAGCAATGGATCGTTCATATGGTATTTATTTATCAAAATTAGTACTGTACGGATTTCGATCCATATATAACAGCTGATTCTAAATCCGTACACTTGTGCATCACTAATGACGATTCTACTTTATCCAATGTTTTTCAGCAGATCATGGAAACTAAATACACGCCGGAGGATTTGGAGAAGACTGTGGCAATGATGCGTGCGGAGAAATCTTACCGAGAAGCATCCAGGGATTTTGCCGTTCAATTCACCACCATAAGAGATGCCGTATTGAATCGCTACTCTCTTATTTTATTCGTATTGTAAACGTTATATTATTAATATCTTTTAATGAAGAGCGTCAAGAACCAGCCGAAAAGTAAAACAACGCAGCTCCCCTACAGGATATCACCAACACGCATATACAAATTAGGGACCATGCATAAATGACGTAACATTTGAGGGGGGAGGTGAGGGTTTCAGAATTTGTGACCGGCCATGT